AAAAAAAAAAAAAAAAAAGAACAGTAAGTGTATTCTTTTTTTTGGTCAGCATAATTTAAGTGTGCCACAGGAGTTTACCTATAGGTTCAAGGGTGCTGTGAGATAAAAAAACAAAAAAAAAGGTTGAAAACCACTGGCCTCGAGACATCTTTCAGCTGTCACAGCTGACGTGTAGTAAGGAGGGGCAGTGCTGCTAAACATCCTCCGATGTTCAAGACCTCCTCCCACACCAAAGCTGTGCCGCCCAAAATGTCAGCGTGCTGAGTCTGAGAACCCCTCAGTCTTTAGTTCCCCAGTAGAAGGTGGCTTCCCCGATACTGTAGACTAGGATGAGGGCCTCCCCCATCTGCCCTCCCCACCATTCTGTCAGCCCCAGAAGGACAGGGTGGAAAGCCCCACTGCCCTGTACGGCGCCCAGCATGGTTAGGCATCACTTTTTGCCTTGTTAGCCTTAGAACACAAAAGAAGTTCCAGCCACGATCCCTCTTTCTCCTCGGAGCTTATGTGGGTTTCCGAAGGCTTCCCCTCGCAGGCCCACAGACAATCTAGTGGTCAAGTGCACAGTCTGGGGATCCTGACAGAAGTGCACTGAAATCCAATTTTCATCCACTTCTAGCTGAGTGACCTTTAGCAAGTTACTTATTTTCTCTGGAATTTAAGTTTCATCATCTATAAAAGAAGCATAAAAATAGAAACTGTTTCATAGAGTTGTTGTGAAGATTAAAAGACAGTGTGTGTGAAGTATTTAGCACCAGCTGTGACACTGGGCGAGGGATTAGTAACTGTGAGAGAAGATGCCACTTACTCCAAGGATCTGCCACCACCCCTGGGCCCTGGTTAACGGTCACAGGGACAGAGAAGAACAATCAGGAGGTAGCCAGTCAGCTGCTTCTTAATTTTCTCAACTCTCAGATGGGCCTGCAATCATTCCATCTTACCTATCCTGTGGGTTTGCGACATGTCCCAATAGCTCCCTACCCAAAGCAGAGAGGTACCTCAGACTCACCTCAGGAAGGGCTGAGGGCAACCTCCAGACTGTCTCCCAGCCCAGTCCTGGCATGGCACTGGGCTGGGCTTCTTATCTAGATTCTAACTCTCAGATTCCATGCCTCAGCCCAGCCCTCCTCTGGCTGCCAGCCCATCTCTCCTGGGGCCCCCACCTCTGGTGTCAGCAGGGGCTCCACACCCTGGAACTGCCCCTCCCCCACCTCCTGCCAAATCTGAACTCTGGTCCACAGCCAGGTATCCCAGCTTCTACCAGATCTGCAGGGGAATTAGAAACATTTTTTGGCAAGTAACTCCCAGAAATCAATTGCTGTTTCCATTTACCCTTTGAGGGCTAGGAGTGGAGGAAGGCTTTCCCATTTCCAGGCCTCTTTGCTTCCTTCCCTTCCTTTCTATTTTAAGCTTTTTTAAAAGAAACAAAGGTCCATTTTCCTAGACTGCCTGGGTCAGCAAACAGAAGTGTCTATCTGAAGAGGAAGGGCTGGATGTGAAAAAGGGCCACCACTGTGCCTGGTCAGAGAGGACGTCAGGCAGGGCGCATGGAGGCTACAAACAGGAGCAGCCTGGGAGCTGATGTTGGAGCCAGATCCCACACAGGTAGCAGTCCATGAGGTTCACATCCCTGGACATTTTGGCAGAAACCCCTCCCTGTCTGCAGAGCTATATAAGCACCTCTGGGGGTGGGAAGGGGCCTGGGACCACCACACACACACACACACACCCAGCTAAGAGAGGAGAGGAGAGGGGAGTTTGGAGCACCACCTTTTGGGGAAGGATCCCTGGTGCACCCACAGATTGTAGTTCTCAGGGAAGGGGCAGCAACCTGCCGCTTGTGTTGACTGGGCTTTCTGCCCTGCAGCCAGTGAAACCTGACAGGTCGGTTTCCAGATCTGGGCTGATTCTCTTTCACTTCCTGCTTCTGATACCTTCAACTTGAGAGTCCATGTGGTTCACCTCCTCCTCGGACTGCAAATGGATGGTTTTGGGGGCCAAAATGCACAATGCAAGGTCTGGTGTCTTAAAAAGAAGCTCAAAGATTCTGATTCTTGGGGAGTTATTTAATAAAACAACTGAAGTTAGACCCCTTAAGATTAAAATCCACGACTTGCCTCTATCCCAAGGACACTTCTTTCATCATGGGAACAATCAGAACCGAGAGGAGCCGTGAACCAGTATCTCCCACCCTGCCCAGCCAGGATGCCACAGGCAGGAAAAAAGTTTTGCCTCCTAAGTCTCTCTTTTTATTAGCTTCGAAGAAGCAGACAGGTGCCTTTTTCTTTTTCTTTCTTTCTTTCTTTTTTTCAGTTATGATTCCTCCAAAGTATATAATGCACTTTGTCCTTAGTCAGTGACTACTAAATTTTTGAGTACTTGAATGGAGCAGAGAAAGGCTCAGCAGGGCTGGGATTAGAGTGAGGTGCCTAGGGCACAAAATGTCAACCACTCCCCACCATCATCCAGTCACCCTCCAGGGACGTCTTCATCCTAGTCCCAGCCCTGTGGCTCAGAGCAGGTAAAAGAAATCTTCAAGGGGAGACGGTTTACTCAAAGATGTCTGTTGATAGAATGGGGAAGGGTACCCACAATGGGGACCCACCTGCCTTACCTTCCTCTTGCCAAGTCTCCCATGTCCAGAGAGGTGCCCTGTATGAGCTGGCCACTCGCCCAACAGAAGGCCCCCGCTCTCAGAAATTGCAGAGACAAACATGTAAGAGAACTTGAGGGACCTCAAAGACAGCTGTCACTGCAGGGCTGTCAAGAATTATGAGAATGTTAACCAACATTTTTTGAGCACTCACTATGTGCCAATTCCAGTGTTAAAATACTTTATGGCCATTGTTGCATACAATCCCCTCAACAACTTGATAAGAGAGAACTTGGACTCTGGAGCGGGGCAGGCTTTGTTTGAATCTCATTCTTGTCTCTTTCATATTATATCGTCTTGGGAAATTTTGTAAGTGCACTAGGCTTCAGCTTCCTTACCTGTAAAATGAGAATAATAGTACCCACATCATAGAACTCTGAGGATTACCTCAGGTAATACATGTAAAACAATAAGACCACCCTCTGGGACAACATAAGCATTCAACAAATATTACCCATAATTATCATTATTGTTGTTACCTCTGTTTTTGTTTTTTGAGACAGAGTCTGTATTGCCCTTGGTAGAGTGCAGTGGTGTCACAGCTCACAAAAACCTTCAACTCTTGGGATTAAGCAATTCTCTTGCCTCAGCCTCCCAAGTAGCTGAGACTACAGGCACCTGCCACGCCACCCGGCTATTTTTTTATTGTAGTTGTCATTGTTGTTTGGCAGGCCCAGTCTCAGTTCAAACCTGCCAGCTCTGGTGTATGTGGCTGGCATCCTAGCTACTGAGCTACAGGCATCGAGCCTGCCTCTGGTTTTTTATTCCTTAGGGCTGCCATAACACAGAAACTGGGTGGCTTAAAATAACAGAAATGTGTTGTCTCACGATACTGGAGGCTAGGTGTTCAAGATCAAGGTGTTGGTGGGTTGGTTCCTTCGGAGGGCTGTGAGGGAGCGTCCGTACCAAGCCTTTCTCTTAGGTTCTGATCCCCTCAGGTGTTTCTTGGCTTTGCACCTGCCTGTCTTCCCCCTGTGTCTCAAGTGTGCCTGTCTCTGTGTCCAAACTTCCCTTTTGTATAAGGACACTAGTCATGTCGGTTTAGGGTCCACTTTAACAACCTTATTGTCCTAATCACCTTTGTGAAGACCTTATCTCCAAATAAGGTCACTTTCTTGGGTGCTGGGGATTAGGGTTTCAACTTATCTTTGTGGAGGGACATAATTCACCCATAACACAAGGTTAAATTACTTGCTTGAGGTCACAAAGTTTGTTAGTGAGGAAGCTGGTCCTATTTGATGACAACCCCCATGGTGTAAACCCCAGGGCAAAACCCAACATTGCGAAGCCTTCTGTGGGGAGAAGGAGCTAAAAGCAAATGTGAAGAGCCGGCTGCTGGTGTGTTAATGGCATTTTCCCTTTTTTCTCCACTCCACCTTAGCCTGCCTGCTCCAGGCTGAGCTTGTAAATTATGAACGAGTCAAAGAATATTGCCTCAAAGTACTGAAGAAGGAAGGAGAAAATTTCAAGGCCCTTTACCGGTCTGGTGTGGCCTTCTATCACCTTGGGGACTATGACAAAGCACTCTACTACCTGAAAGAAGCAAGGACCCGACAACCCACAGGTAAGGCAGCAACTGCTGCTCTCACACTATCACCCCCCTCTGGCAGCTCCTGGCCCCTCCTTGCCGCAGACAGCAGGGCCAAGCAGGACAGAGATGGCAAGTTAGGGGTCAGGTGTGTGTCCTGGGACCTGGAATAAGAAGAGCACACAGCCAGGCGCGGGGCTCATGCCTGAAATCCTAACCCTCTGGGAGGCCGAGGCAGGTAGATTGTCTGAGCTCAGGAGTGCAGGACCAGCCTGGGCAAGAGCAAGACTCCATCTCTAAAAAATAGGCAGGCATTGTGGCGGGCACCTGTAGTTACAGCTACTCGGGAGGCTGAGGGAAGAGAATCACTTGAGCCCAGGAGTTTGAGGTTGCTCTGAGCTATGATGCCACAGCGCTCTACCCAGAGCAACAAAGTGAAACTCTCTATCTCAAAAAAAAGAAAAAGCAGCAAAGTGAAACTCTCTGTCTCAAAAAAAGGAAAAAGGACAGCATACAGTCCACACATTTGCCTGGGCTCTGAGCTTCAGGGAGCACAGGCACCTCTTGTCTTCCAATAGAGTACAGAATTCTTCATCTTTCCCAACTCAGAATTCCACTCTCTCCACTTATCACTAAACACATATCGAATTCTTACTATGGGCCAAGATGTGTGCTGGGCATCAGGGATGTCAGTGAATAGACACGGTCCCCACCCAGGAGGAGCTCACATCTGGTTGGGAAGACACAGTACAAGCAAGCAGTGCTGGTGCTGAGCCCAGCCTCTCTCACATGCTCTGACTTCTCCAGCCAGCTGCTGTTTCTTGGAGCATGTGTCATTAACTTAGATCATACACCCATCCATTCATTCATCCCACAGGTATTTATTGAAAAGGCATAGTGGAGCTGGTTACACAGTAGTGAACAAAAGACAGTAGCTGCCTTCAAAGAGCTTATGTTATGATGGTTTACTGTCTAACACAAGTGGGAAGAAAGGGGGGAGACAGGAACAGAACCCAGGGAGGGGCTCTTCACCAGGTGCCTGGAAGTCTCCAGTAAACAGACCGATGGCAAACCGATGTAATGCTTAGTAGCAGTGAGTGCTGTGAAGAAACTAAAGCAGAGCTCAGGGCTCACGTGCAAAGGGATTGGTATTTCAGACCAGGTGGTCGGAAAGGGTCTCTCTGAGGAAGGCACATTTAAATAATAACTTTGGCTTGATGTTGCCGTTGTTGTCCATATGGTCAATGTTTTTTAAAAATTCAACCCCAGCTCGGTGACCATCGCTCAGTGGTTAGGGCGCCAGCCACATACCCTGGGGCTGGCGGGTTCAAACCTGGCCAGGGCCTGCTAAACAATGACAACTACAACAAAATAGCCGGGTGTTGTGGTGGGCACCTGTAGTCCCAGCTACTTGGGAGGCTGAGGCAAGAGAATTGCTTAAGCCCAAGAGTTTGAGGTTGCTGTGAGCTGCGACACCGCAGCACTGTACCGAGAGTGACATAAGTGAGACTCTGTCTCAAAATAAATAAATAAATACATACATACATACTAAATCCTCTTCCCAAGAAGTCGTAAGAACTTTAGGATCTGTGTGCAAATGTCCAAATATATAGTTTTTAAAAAAACTTTTTTAAGAACACCAACATGTATTTTTATGTGTTTGTTTTCTGTACATAAATTGTGTTCCACCAACTGTATTGCAAGCAACTTGAAGACTAGGAACTGGAGTCATTCAGCAGACTTTCTTGAGCACCCACTACGTGCCAACACTGTTCTGGATGCTATGCCTGGCATTTGGAGCTTCAGACAGTGTCCATTCCTACTTCTGGAAGTAATACCCAGAGCAACCCTATGATTCTTACGTTCTGGTGTGTGCAGAACTAAGCAGTTGTATGCCATCCCCTCCTAATCTAAAAACAGGAACTAGCTGGAAAAATGCCCAGTTTTTACTGAGGTGATCACCTGACCCTAGCTATAAGGACAAAAATAAGACAGTGAAGCAAAGTCATTTTAAATTCTTCAAGTTTAGAAAAAAATACATTCAACTAATATTTCTTGATCATTGCATTAAGCCTTCTGGACTTCTCTATCTATTTCAATCCTCACGGCAGTTTTAGGAGGAGGGTATTATGATCCCCAGGAGAGGTGGGCTTTGGACGTAGACACACCAGGCACTGGGTGCCTCCTTGGGCATCTTACTTAATCTTCCCAGAAAGCTTAATCTTCAGCCTTCTCTTTTGTCACAATGAGGGTGAGAATGCATACCTTGCAGGACTGTAGTGAGGACTAAATGAGATAGTGAAGTTCAAAACCCTGGCATAGAGTAGGCATTCGAAAGTGGAGGTTATCTCTTGCATATGAGACAGGAGGCTCATATGAGACAGGGGGAAGTTGGTGGCTTCTCTGAGGATAAACGTGAACCGGAGTCTCAACTGACTGTGCTGATGTGGGGACCACTGGGATGTGCTGCTGCATAGAAATAAGGGGAAGGATTTTCTCTTCCCGCCCTCCCATCTGTCCCCTGGGTCACGGCGACCTGTCCACATTAGCTAAGGGGGGGCAGTGAAGGAGAGGGCTAGCATCTGGTTGCCCTCTCAGCCACTGCAGATCAGCACAAGGGACCTTGGCGGAATGAGCCTGGCCTGTCCTCTATCTGCAGAGTCAGCTTTTGCCTGATTCTGAGTTGACGCAGTACTTGTCCTCTGCAGGCATTTCCTCAGGTGTGTTTCTCTCCTCACAGACACCAACGTGGTTCGGTATATCCAGCTGACGGAGATGAAGCTCAGCCGATGCTCCCAGAGAGAGAAAGAAGCTGTGTAACTGGGAAGCCTCTCCAGAGTTGCACCCACAGCTGATTGGGGACTTCCAGGCCGCCCCTGCTGGAGCCCCACCCTGGGTTCTGTCCCTTTCTCCCCACTTCTTACGACTCCCCCTTTTTTTCTTCCTATTATGCCCCAAATCTTTCCCAGGGTGAAAAGAAGGAGAGGTGCAAATTTGGAATCTGGCAGGTTGCCCAGACAATGGAAACATCCTCTTCTCTAGCAAGTTGGCAGCTGAGAGGGCCCTAGTTTCTGCTGGAGAGGGGTCTCATGGGCTGAGAATGCCCCATGGCTTCTGACAGAGGGAGAGCCTGGCTGGTGGATCATCCCAAAAGCAGCAGGCTCAGGGCTGGACCCTTCCACACATTCCTGACAGACCAGAGCATCAAAAGACAACTGTTATGAATCCAGGGATGAGACAGGGATGAGACAAACACCAGAAGCAACAGTCCAGCTGCTACAGAGCGAGAATTTGCAGGCTGGAGTCTGCACGCCCGTGGGGCTCCCCCTCCTCCCTCACTTACTGCCTTGGCTTGTGTTTTTTCCTCTCCTCCTAGGGGATCCACGACTCTGCCAGGATTCACATGCCACTGAAGCCCACTCTCAGTGCCCTTTGGTGACCACTCATACCATTCTCCCGTCCTCCCACCCAGCAGGCAGCTGTGACCGCAGAAGGACAGGGTGAAGGGGGCCAACATTTGCGGCAGGGTAGCCATGTAGGGATGTGGGGGGAGAGATAACACCCAGGGTGGAGGGGGCAGAGCAGTGTTTAGCCTGGGGTATTGAACTGTGGACTAATGAAGTGTAAATAAAAAACAAATTAGCAGGCAGCAGTTCCTGTGATTTCCGTGGGAAGCAGCCCCACACCCTCACTTTTACTCTCTCCCTAACCCTCAGTCACAGCTTCTTATAGCCAGATGGGGCTTCCCCCAAAGCAATTGGCCATTTGTCCAGTGGCCTACAACGTGGGCTGCAGCCTTTGTGCTTTTAAGAGTGGGCTGGGAATATGGAGACTGTCCAAGGGCTTGGCTTTTGGGGAATTTGTATAACCTTTTCTTGATGAAATTATCTGGACTCAATATCTAGCACGTAGAATATGTTCAAAAAATATTGTTGAATGAGTAAGTTATGACTGCAGACTGGCTCTCCTGCCTTAAACTACTTTCATCCCAGCCTAGTCTCCTGGTACCTATGCTCCTTACGCTATGCCATATTGCTTCAGTCCAACAGCAGGGCTTCTTGTTTGCCTGCTCCTGTGCAATACGCAGTGGGACACAGGATGTAGTCCCGGGCTTTGAGGATGGAAGAGTCGAGAACTGCAGATGAGGATACTACCAATGACACCTTTAATTTATATGATGCTTTAAAATTTTCCAAGCACTTTCATGTATTTTTCGTGTGACTAGTGGAAAAGACAATATTGTACAAAATCAAACTATATAAAGATGCAATAATGTTAATAGTTAGGATTTATTAAATGCACTATGTTGAGATCTTTACATGTATAATCTCATTTCTTTCATGAAACTACTGTATGAGATACTAAGTCTCCTTGTGATGGATAAGAAAACTGTGAAAACCAGAAAAATCAACTGTGCCAAGGTTGCATGGCCTTCAATGGCATAGCTAGGATTTGAACCAGCTCTGTCTGGCTCCAGAGCTCTTGCTACTAACTATTCTATGCTTATTTGCCTCTCCAAGAATATCATATTGGGCACTCACAACCGTTCCAGAACAAGGCAATATGTATTAACTTCAAAAGGGTTCACCATGTCAAGGGTGGTGCATGGGCCTCCTCTTGTATTTATCCAAGGCCAAAAAAAGACCAGAGACTAGAAACCCTAGTGGTGGTCAAAGCAGTGACCAGCCAGGAAAAGACAACTGAGACCCAATTTCTGTACATGGTTCATTCTTTGTGCTCATGAGGCCTGCACATATCCTAACAACTCACCTAACACTTCTCACTAGCATTGGGAAAGGGTAACAGTTACTGTAGAGACCGAAAAGAAACATAAGAGTTAATTATGGGGTATTTATTTAAACAGAGACTCCACACCACAGGATCCAATCACTGTTGAGGAGCCCAGAAGGCAGCAACACAGTTTATATTAAAAGGCTTTAATGGGTGCTACAAGAAAGTGGCTAGAAATATTCAGGGTCCCACATTTGCTCACCCTCAGGAGAAGAGGAAAAGGAAAAGGCTGTTTTGGCTGCCACATTCTCCTTCACTCCTATCACATCCTTCTCTCTGCCCTCTTTCTCCAAAATGGCCTCACCTGACCCTAATGCAAGGCTCCCCTGAGGCCTATCACAAGCATATGTGCAAAACTCTCCCATCGCCAAGCCTTCAGCCCAGAAGGTTCACGAGTTGACAATCTTCACCTGCAGGTGGAGATGAGGTCACCTTCATGAATGGCCTGCAGATCCATTTCAGACTGACAGGGTCTTTCTTTGGCCTTCCTACATCAGCAAGAACTCAGAGTAATTATTCTCAATATGGAAGCCAGAGAGAGGTCTGACTTAAATGGGTATTTTGGGCCAGGCTGGACAGTTGGGGATACAACTGTTCCTATCCCAAGGGAAAAGCTTAAAAGAAAAAATGAGGTGAGGACAACCTCTAGGAAGCTCATAGAACCAGTGTACAGACTATCTGCTTGTCTGGTGACTTAGATATACATGCTTATTGAAACTCCATTCACTGTGACCTGAAGATAAATGATCCCAAAGAAAAAAGCTACCTGGGATATCGGTTGCTGTCTGGGGTGGTAGAGCTGAATTTTCCATGCATTTGTCCAACAAAGATTTCAGAGAGCTCTTAAGCCCATGAGGTCCATTCTCCTTACCAAATCTGTGACTTTCTTCTCCCCACCCTGCCCCTAAACAAGGACTGATTTACTTACTTTGTGGCTGTCACTGCTGAACTATCTATAGACCGAGTACTAATCACGGACCTGACCTGCATTGTCATCTCCTGCCTGGACTTTTGTGATAAGACTTTTGGGGAAAGACTTAACTTTTTGTTTAATTATTACAACAGCATCACATGTATATTATGGGAACTTTAGATAAAAATAAGAAAAAAAAAGGACAAGATCTAATCCAATCTAGTCCATAATTCTACCACCCAAGTCTCTCCTTTAAGTTCCTTTTGGTATAAATGGACACATGCATATGCACAGTTGTGGGATTTTTAAACTAAAACTGGATCACACTGTATATAGTCTTTAATAACTTACTTTTCAAAATGTGTGTTTATATTTTAGAATATGTAGTACATACACAGATTTAAAAAAAAAATAAAAACCTCAAAAAGTACAAAATGCTCTATAGGCAGTAGTACATCTTCTTCCCACCCTGTCTGCTAACATCTAGTTTCTCTGTAATTTCTTACATATCCTTCTGGAGATGCTCACGCATTTGCAAACATATGTGTATGTATATTCTTTTATCTCACATACACTTGCTCTTTCTGTCACTTCACTGAGTATATTGTGAACGTTTTCTGCGCGTCTCTTTCACGTCCAGCAGCATCTTAGTTACATGAGTGGACCCTCGTTTTGTAATCATTCCCCCAAACGATAATTATTTCATTGGTTCCCGGTCTTTATTGTAAATAATGTCGCAACAGACATTCTTGTAGTTAAATTTTGCACACATCTGTGACTATTTCCTTAAGATAAAATCCAAGAAGGAATTGCCTGGCTATTTTTAAAAATTTTGATACATGTTGCCAACCACAGTCCAGAAAGTTTGTACCAAAACGCTTTCCTCGTTGAATCCTTGAGAGCTCCCTGTTCCTGGATTAGGGTTTTAGCACCGATTAGATCTTTACCAGTTTGATAATCAAAACGACTGTACATCAATGTTATCTTAACTTGTTATTTTAACTTTTTTTGATTATTACTGAATAACATTCTTCACGTGCCCATTGGCCATTTGAACTTTCTTCTTTGTGAAATTTCTATTTGTTTGATATTGGTATGTTTATGATCAATTTGTAATTTTGTTAAGAATATTATTTTTGTCAACAAATGCTACAAATATGCTTTCCAAGTGCTTTTGCTTTCAAATTTTGTTTACGGTGCTTTTTGACATACATAAATTCTTAATTCTGCAATTAATTTGTTCTTCTGTTGCCAGCTTCTCTTGCCTACAGTTCACCCTCTCATTTCTGTCATGACAACCCTTCTAAAACACAGTCCGATCATGTGGTTCCCCAACCCACACATCTTCAGTGCCTCCTCATCACTTTGCGGATAAAGGCCAAACTCCTTAACATAACACACAAGGTCTTTCATGCATTCTCTCCCATGAACTTTTCCAGGCCCTCCTTCCAAGGGCTCCTGCATTCCACTGCTGCGCAGCTTTTTGGGATGCCCTGGACCGTTGTGCTGGGTCTCTGGGCCTTTCCACACTGTTCCCTCTGATTCATTGGCCATTCCTCACCTATTCAAACATCTCTCCCCCCTTACTGACTCCTACAGGCCCTGACCTGGGGTCACTGCTAGAAAGCTTTCCCTGGTCTGAACTCCTTTAACACAGGCCTCCCTCTACCTAGTGTATTCACTACAATAAATTAGAACTTCCAGTTTACTTCCGTCTATCCCACCACCTATTCCACAGTTCCTCAAGGCAGGCGCTATGGTTTATTCATCTTTGCAGCCAGAATGTCTAGCACAATGCCTGGCACGCCATAGGTACCCAGTGGCACATGTTACTTGAGGTAAATGCAGGGCTGAACTAGGTCTGTGCTTCTGAGAAAGGAAGACATCCTTGGAGACCTAGGTCAGAAGAGAAATGGCATGTACCAGCCCCAAGCTTTCCAAGACATCAGAATCACACAGAAAAGCTTTTTAAAAATACACAACCCTGGGCTCTGCTTTAGACCCACTGACTTGGATTCATGAGGATACTCTAGTTCTTCAGCACCCTGGGATGTTCTGATGGCCAGCCAGGTGAAGGGCCCACTACAGAGGTAGACCAGCAGACAGACTTCAGAGC